TGCTGGTCTTAATTAAAATACCGGTGTCTGGTACAGCTCTCAGTAAGATTTGCTTAATTAATTAATCCAGTCACTCTTTGCTAAAATCGTATGACGTACGTCGTACTCCACCTTGGTCCACGTCACAACATTTAGTACAGCGTCCGCAATAGGCGTTTGCACATGTTTACATCTGATAGTTTCACTCTTTTTAGCAAACTTTCATGAAATCAAAAAGTGAAACAGTAAACAGTAAAATGTAAATCTATGCCATCTACCCATTAAATCCGTAAACGAGGTAAACAGTAAATTTCCTTTTTCCTCTTCTTGATTGGACCTTGTCCCTTAAGTTCCTGGTAATTGGTTGCAGAATGGATCTGGAAGAAGCACGAAACACGAAAATGAAAATATTTATTGCTGACTCAACCACTAAAAATGTGCAAAAGTTGAAAGAGTAAGAGTAAACGTCAAACAGCAAAGCCTTTTGCGGACACTATAGTGTGTACGACTGTACTACTGTACCGTACCGGTGCGCCCCGTCCGACGGTTTTCAGTCAGGATTTTTTTAATTTTCTCTAGCAGGAAAAGGACTGCAGAGCTGCGGAGGTGGAAATCCACCGAGTGAGAAATTCGAACGGTTTATGGAGCCTCTTTGGAATGCATGGATTGGCTATTACTAAGTAGCTAGCTGAAGTACCAAGCAGGACAATCAAGGCAACCCGGTTCCACTATTGGAGTTTCGAATCTCATATTTCATAGAGGAAAGATAAATCCATCGCTACTATCAGGCTTTAGAAGTCGAATGCGGTGCGGCTAGCAAGCAGTGGCCGGAACAAGCAACTTTGGCGTTCAAAAGAAGCAATCTTCACTAGAAAGCTCATTGCATGTTCTGTCTGGCCATCTATAGTGGCCGTTTCCCTCTTTGAACGACGGTGGCGTAATGTTCTTGCATTTTATTTTCCATGCAGGAACGTAGGGAGCAACAGACCATCCTGACCGTGCAGAGCCAGAGATTCGATTCGAGAAAGTTTGTTACACTGACACCTCTGGTGCTGAATCTATTTTGCACACAGGAAAGGTCCAGTCATGGCCATGCAAATGCACTGTCCATGACTCGTGTCTTGTGCAATTCAATTGATTTCCCAAAGTGTCTTGCTGGGACCTCTTTGCCAGCAATCCAGTCAGTAAAGAGAGCCTCTGCCACGCCAGGCAAGTGGCAAAAGTTCTGGTCTTTACCATGCAAACAAGAATCGCCATTCACACACATTGTCCCAAGTATCTTTCTATCCACAATGGCATTGAACTTTGTTGTGCCCACTTTTGCCCTCCTGATTGTAGGGTCATGTCCATGTTTCATGACACCAAGCTTTGGGACAGCCGCATTGAAATCATCCTTCGCCAGAACATCCAGATGTCTAGAGAGGTTTTTCTTCAAGTTTGGATGGCGATTCTTTCTTTGATTGCGGACTGTCCATGAGATGACATCCTTGTGAGGTGAGATAAACAGGTGTAAAATACTCATTAGTTTAACAAACTATGGCCACGGAGTGGCTTTTATGACGCGGGCAAGTGGTGGGGAAGCCCCCACCTAGCTGAGTCGTCATCTACTTATTTGCCCAATCAACATGACCTCATCCACTGGCCCAACGTGGAGCCAGCACCAAGTAGACAGATGCCCTGGGTAGGGGGTGAGCACATTGATAGGGAACCTGCAGCGCAAAACCTGGGTTACAGGGCTTACACAGGATTTTTGTCGGTATTGAAACCATTATCACCAAAGGGACCGTGAGGACCAGTTAGATTGCCAGACCAAAGAGTGCTCACCAGTAAGTGTGTCTGGGTGATCAGGTCCCAAGCTGTGGCAAGGCCTTGGCATGAAGGCAAGATGCCAGCAGAGCCCGTAGGAGGTGGTACTCCTCAGGCTGGACCAGAGCAGGGTGTAACCCATCCAATGCACAAAAATTGTTAGATAGAGGCCAACAAGCAGGCAGAAGATGGGGTCAATGACACACTGGCAGTGTGTGGTTCCAGGAGGGAGGCACAGTGCTGCTGGAGTGTTGTGGGCTGTTCGAGGGTTGTTGAGTCAATAGAAGGGGATAAGGGGCACGGGAGTGGGCTGGTGCCACGGGCAGGAGGGGAGATCCTGTTGGGGTTGGAGTGTTGTTGTAGGAGTTGGGATGTAGCATGGTTGATGGTGTGTTGTAGATAGAGGCGTGCCTGTGTTCAAGGGTGAGAACAAAGGCATCCTCCCTGATAGGTAGGGTGTGATTCGGAAGGGTGTGATCCTCAAGATGGCTGCATGCTCTAGGAGCTGTTGGCTGATCATCTGGGGAGTGGTGTTGTGTAGTCTGCGGAGGATGGTAGATGTGGTTGGTTGGGTGAAGTGGGGGAGTGGGGGAATGTCTGGGAGGACCTTTGGGTTTGAGTGAAGTTGTGGGTAGACATGGGGAAGTCATGGTGGGTGGTAGGTGGGTTGGTGGGAGAGTTGTGTATCCTGGAGTATTGACTGTAGTGTCGTTGCTTCAACGCAAGCATGGAGGTTGCTTGTGAGGTGGCGAGATGATTGTAGAGAAGGGTGTATTCAAGGGCAATGCACTGAGGCACTGGTAATCAAGGTTTATATCAATTGTTGGGTTGTTGTTGCACTGGATCAAAGGCTGTGGCCAAGTCTGGTGCAGGTATACCACTACCTGCAGGAGAAGATGGTATCAGAGCCAAGGCTGTTAGGGATTCTTTCAGGGAAAACTGGAGAAGTCACGCTATAGCCAGTAGAGGCAGTGGTGGGGGATCAAGGTGTGTTGTTGGTTGATGGGGCTGTGTTACTGGGTGGCACTGTGTTGTCTCAAGGGCTGGTACTCAATCTGTTGTAGGGATGACAATGCAAAGCAGCAACAGAGAGTCAAGCCAAGATGTGGAGAGGGTACTCGATTCAGGTGGAACTATGGAAAGTCACTGGAGAGTCACTCAACAATCAATGAGAGAGATAGAGTCAGTTATGTATTAATATCTATGCCACACCACGCTGCAGTTCTGTCTGGGGCTCAATCCTTTTGGAGTTCCTGAGGCTCAGTAGGAGAGTCAGGTGCAGTAGCAGAGAGGTGGCTGTGTCAATGAAGTGTTGCACAATCTAGCCAAACACGCTAGAGGGGCAGCTTTTGTAGTTGTTCTTGTGGGGTGGGATCCTTTGGAGAGGAGCTGGATATCCCAGGGAGGGGCTGTTGAACGATGAGAGTGCAGCCAGCCTGGTGATAAAGTTTGAGGAGGACGACTGACTGCAGGGGGCCCTATGCAGCCGGTGAACTCTTGAACTCAAGTCCTTACAGTAACTCTGTTGTTGTTTGTTGTTCCTCTTGGTGAGGAGTTAGATATCAATGTTGTAACAGCAGGTGTCGATCAGTCAATCAGTCTGTATAGGGATAGGACTGGTTGGATTTCAGTAGGATCAGTGCCAACAAGGACGTCGGGAGAAACCACTAGTGGCCGGTGAGAAAGTAAGAATACAGGTGTAGTTCTCTTCTGGGTGGTCACTGCAGGTATCTCGTGAAGTCCTTCTTGATGACAGTAGGCTGCGTACGGAGGAAGAGGTGCGTACAGAGGAAGAGGTACGGTCGCGGGAAGTCGATTCACGGAGTAGCGAGTCTTGGATCGATTCGATTCAGAGATCGATTCGATTCGCGATTCGATTCGAATCAACGTCACCGGTTGCCTTAGGGTTGAGGTTAACCGAGCCTGTTGTTGTGGAGGAAAAAGATCGATCGTTCGAAAAAGAGGATCGACAATGGGATTTCGATGGACGTCAGGAGCGTAGCTGAGAAAACAACAAATAGATATGGGAATTGTTTTCTGTGCTGTGCTGGGGAAGACCGGTGACTTCTTCTTGTGTTCAAATTCGTCCAACTTGGCCGTCGGCAGTCGAGAATAGAAGACCCGCCCGATCTCGTAGGATTTCAATGGGGATGGCTTTCTAATCTGAACTGGGGAAGGCCGCTTTGATAGTCGCTTGATAGGAGAGGTGCGCTTGATAGGAGATACCAGAGGAGGTGTCGATCCTGTCAACCGGAGGGCTTGAATGAGAGATAAAGAGAGGAGAAAGGGGTGTATGTTTTCCGTGATGACGTTGAGTTGAATCCTATAGTAAAACAGTACTCTTCAACAAGATAACAGAAAACAGGCTTCCTGAGGTCCTTTCGCTTCGTTTCAATGCTTCTAATGGTGCTAATAGGTAGTGTAATGGTATAGGTATGACCGATTGGTTGTGTTTGTTGCTATTAGTGTTGTTGTTGTTCTTGTAGTGACAGATCCAGAGGGGAAGCGCTTCGGTGTTCGGCTTCCCGTGGAAAAGTGTGAGGTGAGATAAACAGAGCATTCATGATAATGTCAAACTGGGAATAACCCCCTTCAGTATTGCAGATCTTGTTGAATGCCTTGTTAAAGGCATCCTCTCCTGTTGACCCAACAAGTTTCTTTGCCACAACATCGTGGACTAATGCAAGGTGTATTGTCTTGACAGTAATGGGAATCCCAAGAACTGGTTCTCAAGAAACTCTGGGGCGTCCTCCTCTGTGAACAGTGTGTCTTTATGAAGTTGGACCATTGCTGGCGAGCATTGCCTCACTCCTCATTGCAGAACACGGGTTTCCGTTAGGAGGTAGCTTTTCAAAAATTTGCATGTATTGAGGGAACTCGAGGGTGTTGATTAAACACTAGAGAGACTGTTTGGCCATGGTGGAGCTTATTTTAAAAGTCAGTCTAAAAAGAAAAGTGAGGAATCGCTTTTGGTGGTCCAGTCGATTTCGAATTTCAGTCCCGGATACTCATGACTCAACACACTCCTGCCTCCATCCCTAAAAATCGGATGGAGGAGCATATCCCATAATCTGATCACGGAATTTCTTGAAGGCGGCTCCTTGCAATGGCTTCGACATAAAATCTCCTATCATTTTGTCCGTAGGACAATACTCGACCACAAGATTACCCTGATGTATCTGGTCGGTAAGGAAAAAATAACGAATATTCAAAGCTCACGTACGACTTGTAGAACTGTCCTTGCCGTTGTTTTCCAATTGGATCGTCGACTTGTTGTCTTGTTTGAGGACGGTATCCATGCGGTAACCCTGAGACTCCATAAACAAACGTGTCCACAACAGTTGTTGGACGGTATCATCGGCACCAACCAACTCTGCTTCGGTGCTGCTCCTCGTATTGAGCTTCTGCTTCTTCGACATGGTAATAATACCACCTTGTCCAAGAGTAGCGACTGCACCTGTGTGGGAACGGAAGTCAGGGTGAACAGCAAAAGCTGCATCAACGTACCACTTGATCACATTCAAATTATCGGCAGAAAGGATAAGTTTGTCGTTACGCGTGCTGTCACAATAATGTAGCATACGTAATAACCATCGCAGTGCTTTGCACGAGGGTACAGTCTCCGACTGAAAGCGATTGGGAGGCT